TTGGCACTCCCAGCCCCATAAAGTCAGGATGAAGTCAGGAGCCAGGGAGGGCCCTCATCTGCCCCTGCCTGCCCACCTGGCCCAGACTGGAGCCCAGGTGCCCCACCCTTGAGGGAGCTGTCAGGTGTAGTCATGGGTGCTTTCAAGTGTGGTCCTGCCAGGCCCAGCCACGCTCTGGGTGGGGGCACTTTGTAGACACAAGCTCCCTTCATAACTCCCTTCATCTTGTCTGAAACCAGGCAGGGAGGATCCATCCTGCTGCCCCAGCTAGGGGAAGCTGTACAACCTGAAGCGCAACAACACGAGCGCTCTGCCCACGGCCGGTGGGCGGCAGAACGGAGAACTCAACATTCATCTGCAATGAGCCAGTTCTTGAGGGACTTGGGTCACCCTGCCAGTCACAAGGGAGGGGACATGGGTAGCTCTGGGGCGTTCCCATTACACCCCATTACCCGTGGTAAGAGGGGGTGGGTTGTGGGGAAAACTGGGTTTTGGGGTCAAACAAGGCTGGGCTTGAATCTGGGTGCTGCTGTTCACTGGCCTGGTGACCTCTCTGAGCCCGCATGTCCCCATCTGCAAAATGTGGCTAGCAGTCCACCCACCTGGCAGGACTGTGGTGAATCTCAGATGCAAGAATGCGTGTGAAATGCCTGGTGCTCACCGTGTGAATCCTTAAGGAAAGAGGGCCTTTAATTTTGGATATTGAGACTTAGATTAATGAGAATTCCCCAGTTGCATGAGCATTAGAGCATGTCCAAGTATCTTATCAGAGTCTCATTACTGAGATGAGGAAACTGAGGGTCGGAACTGCCCAAGGTCACAAAGCTGGAAGGGGTCTGAGAGATTGGAACTCAGGACTCCTGATCCTCTGTCCTGCAGGGGAGCGACTGCCAGGCAGTCCAGGGAGTGCGGTGGGCTTCTGGGAACAGGGTGCTGTTTTCAGCAAGGGTTGCCTATCAGGGCAGGGAGGGTTGGGCCAGACTCTCTGGGTTGCCTCCATCCCTGATCAAGATGCTCTTCCTCCAAAAGGCTGCACCCTAAACCCAGCCACAGGACTTGGCAAGAGGAACAAGGGCTGAATGTCAGCTTCCACTTGCCCACCTGCCCAAATGGTCTTTGACAATCATCTGCTCTAGCATTCCAGTCACTGAGCTGCCAGGGGTAGTTCTTCTGGGATTAACAGGACAATTAAGTCCATCCCCTAGGGATTTCCCAGAAGCCATTGGGAGGGGGAAGTGAAGGAAGATGGGCGCGGTAGGGTCTGGGGTTACTTAATTGGAGGGGGCCCTCCTCTCATCCGTGGCCCCAAAGTCTGGGATATTCTGAGACCTGCCTCCCATCCTGGCACTGTGCCTGAGGCCGTAGGCACAATAGCCACACCCTTGGCTGGTATTTGCCAACTGTGGCTGAGCCAGCTCCTCTTTCCCTGACACAACCTCAGAGAAAGTTCGAGAGTCTTCAGGCAGCTGTGAGAGCTCCCTGGAGAGGCCTGACAGCTGACAGATTTCGCTTGTTGCTGAGCCTGCTGGGAATTGAAAATGTGAGCAGCAGTAATTAGAGCTCATGGGGGTTGGGGGAGCACCAGGTCTTTCCGGAGGTGTCTAGACACTGACCCTCCGGCCTGCCCACCCGCTAGGCCTCGGCTTCTGGCTGACCTTGGGATCACATCACCCCCATCACCACTGAAGGGGTGGCAAGGAGGGGCCAGGTGGAAGGGGACCCATCCTCTGGCCCCAACTGCCCTGCTGTCCAGCAAAAATAATCTGTGTAGCTTGGGAGTCTGGGGACCTGCTCTGGGACCTTAGCCAGCGGCCGGCTCCCATGACTCATTTTCTTCATCTGTGCAATGAGACCATTGGACTGGATGTTCTCTAAGGCTCCTTCCAGCACCATGAATCAACAGTTTCTCCTCCACTTCCCCCTCCCCCAGGTTCCCTACGCTGCTGCTCTGCCATCTAAGGCTTCCAGAGGGGGTGTGTATGTGTGAGTGCGGGGAGGGGTGAGGGAGGATGTGGAGATGTGGCATCCGTGGAGGTGGGAGTCCCGACAGCTGAAGCACCCCCATGTCTCAGGTGTCCTGAGAGACTTTCTCAGGCAGAGGGGGACCTGGAGAAGGAAGGGAAGGCGCCTGGTGATAGGACCAGTTTGTTGAATATGCCTTCAGCTGAGAGAGACTGGTAAGAGGCCAGGGGGCTTCCGAGAGCATTTAAGAGAGGCAGGGGATGGGGGGGGGGGGTGCCAGCTGGGACACCCAAACTGGGCATGTGCACTTGTGACTTGCTACCCTGAGTCTGGGGCTGCAGGAAGCCAATAGGAAAACAGGACATAGGAAAGCCCTGTCCAGCTGCCAGGTTGCTGAGTATGTTGGGAGGGGGAAAGTGGGGGCAGGGGAAAGAGGGGGGGACAGGGGGAGGGTATCCCTGCGGCTCCCATCTGTGGAGAGAGAACCTACAGCATCCCAAAGGCTCACACCCTGGGAAGGTTCCCCCACCCCCATCCCATTTCCCCTTCCTTGTTACCAATGCAGAATTGGAGTTTCCTGTTTTCCTGCCTGCCTTCCTGGCAGTATTTTTCTCTTTTCCCAAGGTACGGAGCAGAGGCTGACCCTCCGTCTGTGGGAGGGACAGGGGTTTGGTACCCTGGTGCCCTCCGCGTCTTTTCCCAGGGAACGGCCTTTCTCAAATAGCCAGTGAGGGCGCGGAGGACGTGAGCTTCAGGCTTCGGGCTGAAGGGGACCCTCCCCGAGGCCTCTCCTGTTTTGTGCCCCTCCCCGCGGATCCTAACTGGCAGCTTTTCCTCTCTGTCGCCCTCTAGTGTCTTCCTGCGGCCACCACACCTTGCCTTTGGGCCGCTGCCTGCCCCAGGGTTTCTGGAACTGCTCACTGCAGGGCCCCCTTGTTCACTCATTTACTCATTCCACAAACATTTCAAGGGCAACCATTTTACAAGGCTGTGAAGGGGAGCAGAGACCAATAAAGCGAGGGCTGGGCTCCAGAAGCTCACAGATTTATGGGGAGAGTAACTTGCCAACAAACAACTGGAACATGAGTGTAAGGCCCTAAAGTCAGGAACAAATCCAGCACTGGAGGAACTCAGAGAGGCAGGAGTGGCCACCACAGCTGGGGACCAGAGTCTCTCAGAATAGGAGGCAGCTGAGCTGAGCCTGAACCTGTGGAGGTGAAGGGGCATTTTTGGGGGGGCCCAGGGAGGAGGGTCAGCTGACCTGGAGTAAAGGGCAGCGGTGGGAGAGGAGGTTGGGGGGCTTGCAGGAGGAAAGGATTGCTGTTCCAGGTGGAGCCATTCAGAAGCCTTCCAAGTCCTATGAGCTGGTGAACTTGGTCACAGGATGGATGCAGGGTCCACATGGCAGGAAGCTCTGTTTCATTAATTCAATACTATGTCCTCAGAGCCAGGGACTGTGTGGTACACAGTAGGTTTTCAATAAGTGTGTGTGGAATGAGTGAATGAAAGGTTAGATTTGCGTTTTAGATAGAGCAGGAGGGATGGGAGAGGGCAAGAGATGGGTATGGGAGGGGTGCTAGTGAGAAGCCCGGGATTGTTGGGCCAGGAATGGAGGTGGGGGGCAGAAAGGGAAGAAGTGGTACCATCTGGGGAAAGTGGTACCATCTGCAGGGAACCAATAGGAAAACAGGACCTAGAAAGCCCTGGCCAGCTGCAGGAAAACAGGACCTAGCTGTGGGGTGCAGGGAGGAAGGCCTCAGACTGAGGAAATGGAATCAGGGAGTGGGAGCAGGAATGGGCTCAGTGTGAGACAGGCTACATTTCCATGACCACCTTGTGTTTTATGCTCCCCTGCCCAGGAGGTGACATCTCCCTGTAGCCCCTAAGGTGTGCCTGAGGGTTAAAGAGACAGGTGCTTCTTTGACTAGCTTTCTCAGATCAGAAACAGTCACCTCCTCAGGCGCCCCTTCTAGGAGGATGGAAAAGGCACTGGAGAGGCGGGCATGTGCTGACACAGCCAATGGCTTCAGGAGCACGACCCCCTGCTCTGGGGACCAGACTAGACCAAGGATCTCTGTCTCATGGCTCACACAGGTCGGAGCTGTGGACATGCCGTATGCCTCCTCAGCAGAGGTGGACCAGGGGGCCCTAAAGCAGCGGTTCTCAACCTGTGGGTCGTGACCCCTTTGGCGGTCGAACGACCCTTTCACAGGGGTCGCCTAAGACCATCCTGCATATCAGATATTTAGATTCCGATTCCTAACAGTAGCAACATTACAGTTATGAAGTAGCAACGAAAATAATTTTATGGTTGGGTCACAACATGGGGAACTGTATCTAAAGGGCCAGAAGGTTGAGAACCACTACCCTAAAGGCTTAGTGTTTGTGTGATCCAAAGTTGCATGTTGAATTGTGGGCATGTGCACACCTTCTGAGAAAAGGCTTCCCGACCTTCATCAGGTTCCCAAAGAAGAGTAGATTCAAAACCAGGTTAACACCCACCACTCTGAGAGAAAAGAAGGAAGAGGAGGGGGCGGAGAAGGAAAAGAAGGGGAGGAGGAGGAGATTGTGTGAATTTGTTCAGATCTCTATAAAAGAAATACAATGTAACTGTTAAAAGGAAAAAACAACTCATTACTCTAAACTCTCTTTCCAGGCCCCACCCTAGGGTGCCTGGATTCACAGCCACATGTTACTCCAAACTGTGTTCTAGCCATTCTGGAACATTCCACATATAGGGAAGGTCCTGTGTATTGGCCCAGCCTCTGCCCCACCCCCACCCCCACCCACTGCTGAAGCTAGATGGGGGTTCAGGACATGGGAGTGATCATCTCGGGTCCCCATTTTCCTCCTCACTGAGCTGCAGACTCAGGCACCTGGGCAGGGGGGTCGATGTGCTGGGCGCTGGTTCCTTGGTGCCAGTTCTTCTCTCTGGGTCCCAAGGAGTCTGAACCCCTCTCATTTCTCAGTGGGAAGGACCCCAGAACCCCATGCCCTCCCCACACTCTCCAGGTACCCAAATCCACAGAAGTCTGGTCTCACCACCTGCCCTTTGGGCACTGAGTGTTTTATTAGAGTCCCAAGTTTCATCCGCACCGCGGAAAAAAAAAAAAGGAAGTGGGAAATAGAGAGAGGGGAACCCGGACCAAACCCTAGACCCCTCCCCCCAGTGGAGCCCAGGGCATCTGCCCTATTGGGCCAAGGAAGACTTCATTAGATCCCTGAGGGCCCCAGGAGGAGGGGGCTGGGAGCAGCAGAAGAGGGCTGGGGGCCACTGCTTCCTGTCAATGCCCCAGGCCAAGGCCCTCAGTATAGATCCTACCCTTCCTTCCAAGGGCTATAGCACCCTTCTCTGGGAAGCCTTGGCTGGCCACCTCCTCACCAAACCCTGAGGAGGAAGTGCTCCCTTGGGCAGGGCCTGAAGCTACGCTATCCTCTGCCTGTGACTCAGACAAGGGGCACATGAGAATACCAGGGCCTGCTCAGTCATTAGGCTGCATTGCTTCTCCCTTCTCCTCACAGGCTCTTCTTCCATCCACTCCTTCTCTCTTCCACCTCCTGCCCTGAGCCCCTTTTCATCTCAGGGTCAGATTCAGTTGTGGTCTGTATGTCCCACCTCTTGTCATGCACAAGGCCTGGCTTGTGTGGCCTGGGACCAGGGAATGAGGTGAGGCCTGAAGGGGAGAGACTGGCCTGGAGAGAAAAGGCGGGACCAAGAGTGAGCTCCCTGGCTCTTCCTGGCACTCCTGGGCCTGGGGAGGGGTTTGGGAGGCTGTGGGGCCAGCCTCCAGCCCTCAGCCAGGGTCCTCCTGCAGCCAGCTCAGGAGGAAGCAGCTCCCCAGCCTGGATGGTGCTACACCAAGGGTTAGGCCATTCTTCTTTCTGTCTAACTTATATCCTGCTTGCTGTCCCACCTCCTTGCCTGCCTAGTGGTAGAGAGGATCCAAGGGCTCTGCTGAGTGGGTAGGGGAGGCTCCCAGGATTGGCACCTTCAGAGATGTCCCTGGGTCCACTGAGCTGAGATCCCCGGCCTGTGAGCTGGCATCAAGCAGGAAGTGGGGCAGGGTGATCCCTGTGTTCGAAAAGGCTCTTTGTTCCCTGGACATGGTGGGAGGGCAGAAGGTGGGGGTAGGGACCCTCTAGAAGCAGCAGAACCCAGGTCCTCCTTGTCTGCAGGGCACCTACCCTCAAGGTCTTCCCTGGCCCTGGGACCTCTTTGTAGCAATAGGGTGTATGCCCCCCATGGATCCTGGGGCCTGACCCCTCGCCTCTCTCTGTGCCAGGGGGCACCACTCGGGATCTGTATGGGCTCAGAAGCCTCCACTCTCTGAGCTGCTCCGGCTGTGGTAACTGGGACTGGGGCTCCGGGAGGGGCTGCGCGTGTGGCTTCGGGTCCCTCCACTTCGGCTGCTGTAGCTTCCGTGGCTGTGGCCAGGGCTGGGGCTCCGGCTGGGGCTCCTGCTTGAGTAGTCACTGCTCAGGCAGCTGGAGGAGGAGGAGGAGGGGCTGGGCCGGTAGTAGGGGATGGGCCGCTTTCGGGCACTGCCAGGAGGAAAAAACCGATTACAGACCATCCAGGGCCCTCACTTGGGCCTGGAGCCCCTCCCCAGCAGTGGCCAGGGTTCTGCTGCCTCAGGTGCCCCCCCTCCCACCCCAACAGGATTGGACAGTCAGTGGTCACTTGCCAATTTCATGCTGATCATTTTGTTTTTCCTCACTTGTCTGCAGGGAAAGGGAACCCGAATCTAGACCTGAGTAGGTGCTCAATAAATATTTGTTGAATGAATGTGAGTTTTAAATATAGACAATTCACATCAACCAAGCTAAGCGGCGGCTTCTGTGCATGGAAAGGTTTGTGGATATGGCCCAGCTCTGCTCCTCTGGTCCCCACAGAATGGAGGACTTGGGGTTTTCAGGTCACGTGAAGGGAACAGGAAGAGACCCCTGGCCACTGCTGCCCATGCCCACAGCCTGGCCCAGGCCCACTGGCCCCCTCTCCTCACTCAGCTACCTCCCACCAGCCCTGGAGTTAGTTTGAAGCCAGGAGACTGTGACCCAGAGGAAAGAAAAGAGAGTTGTTAAGGGGGCGGCAAAGCCCCATCGCACTGGGTTAATTCTAAGGAAGAAAACAGGTGTACGTTAGTGGGAGGAGGAGGCAGCCTGGGAGAGGGGCTGCGGTGGGTGCCAGGTGGGAGGTGTGGGAGTCTGCCAATCTTAGGACCTCCCTCTTACGTCTGGGGGTGTCCCAAACCTGGTGGTCTGGCCTTTAGCTCTGGGGTGAAGGGAGGAGACAATGTGATCATCAAGGCCTATGAAGGGCCCGTTTGAGAATCCGACCACGTGAGATCTGAAAAGATGCTGAGGGAGGCCTGCTATTGCTTGGACATGAGAACAGGCACCCAGAGAGGCCCCCGATCTCCCAAGGCTGCCCAGCAAGGCTGCGGCAGAGCTGGGCTCAGAATTTTGCCTGTGGCCTTCTACCCCATGGTAGGGATGTAGGACTTCTGGGTGATTTCTGCAAACAGACCATCGGCTCACCCGGAGACCCAGGCCCAGACCCTCCAGCCCTGGCAGAGAAACTGATCATGGCACAGCCCCACTGGACTGTGTGGGAAAGGTAAGAAGGAGGGTTCCTCCCACAGCTGCCCCAGAAACCAGGCTGCTGGTGCCCCCTCCTCCAAGTTCCCCAGGGGGCTGGAAGGTGAGCGGTGAGGTTAGTGAGAAAAGGAGAGGCAGACAGACAGCTGAACAGAGCCAGATCAGCTCACATGGGCATCTCCCCTGCAGCCTGTGGAGAGGGGGTCCACTTGGCCCCCAGGCTGGCCACAGGCCACTCAGCAGGCTGGACCTTGAGATGAAGGAGAAAAGGAGACATCATTGCCAGGAGATGAATGGAGGCGGGGCGGGTGGGGCTCCCTGCATGTGGAGCAATGATGGGCTCTTGGCAATGATGGGCTCCTCCCATCATTGCCAGGAGATGAATGTAGGCAGGGTCGGCTGGAATCTTCAGAACTTAATTTCAGGTGTGTCTCTTTCCACCCAGACCCAAGTACAGATCCCCCTTCCCTCTATGGGCCTTCAGGCCCCTACCGGGACCATGCCCTTCGTGAGGCCTTCCTCCCTCTGAGTCCACCCCCTCCCCAGAGCCACCAGGTCTAGCCGCTCTCCTCTCAGAGCCCTCTCCCCTTTCCTGAACCCCCACTTCCTCTCCTCCAGCCTTCTCCCCTCTCTGCCCTAGGTTCAGTCGGCCCCTCCAGGAGGGCCTTCACCCCCTGGGTCCCTGGCTGGTCCCCGGCCCCTTCCTAAATGGTGATGCGCCGCGGCTCCATGAAGTTGGGCGAATCCCGGCGCGCTTGCGGATGGGCGAATAGTTGCGGGAGCGGTTCCGGGTGGGGGCGATGTCGGACAGCGTGCTTGGGGAGAGTTCGAAGTCCTTGCTCTGGGGGGCGGCCGGAGGGAGCCCAACGGTGATAAGGGGCGGGGCAGGACTTCTAATGGAACCTACCACCAAACTAAACTATGGCAAATAAAATTAAACTAACATCAAGAAAAATAAAAAATCAAGTAAAAAAAAAAGGTGGAAAAAATAAATATATGCTGGGGAGAATCGATCAACATTCCTCTCGGTGCATAAGGCCCGAAAGAAAAAGGACTAAGTTCTAGTCCGGGAGTCTTGTGAGGGTAACACTGGTTCTAGATTATATAGTTTTGTAA